TTTAGCAAGTCAGCACCAAGATAATCTGTGTTTCAGACCTCCACCCATCTCTCAACACACAGAACTATCAGGTTTCCACTTTCTTTACCCATTTGGAGACTGTAAAAACCAGTAGCTAGAATGACAGAAGCTTGTTACATCTTGCAATGCTTAAGCACCTAAAGAAGAGCTTCATCAGTTCTGTTCCTCTTTTTTAATTTTTTCCTACTTCAGAGAATATTTTTAATTGACACATAATCATTTTACAGATTTATGGGATTAGTGTGATGACCCAACATGATGTGTATTGGTTCTATTCCTCTTTTTGCATTGGTTTCCACTGATCACTGTCCCACTTAAGTATGTGCAGCTCAGAGATCACAAATGTCTCTGGTCCACTTAGTTGCCTTGTCTGAGGAAGGATACATGGTACAGAGTTGCACTGTGTGGACAGTAGGACCTATGAGCAGGTGGCTCACCTCACATCAGAGTGTGAGTATGACAGACATCCTGAAGATTGTCTAGTTCAGCACAAAGCTGTGCTTCATTTATTGTCCTTCTTTCTCCTTTAAATTATTAAATCTTTGTGTGTAATATTTTACCATTTTATGAACTTGTTGATATGCTTTATGCTTCAACATATTCCCATATCTTAAATATTTTGTAATTTTCATTTTAATTGCCTCTTTGGCACTAGTTTGTAGAAGATTCTGGGTAATATTGGACTTGGGTTAGAACATAGTTTGAAAAAAATATACTTTTTTGGAACTCTTTAGGGTTGTTTTATGATTTAGAGTATTTTTGGATAAATTCTCTGCAATCTTCTATTACCTGAGAGTACTATATTCAACCTCCATGCCTACATTGAATGTTCATCCATTTCTTCTGTAATTTTTTCACTTTTCATCTTATGTATTTTAATGCTCTTTGTTGCTTCTAAGTTTGCATTTCTTTTACTACATAATGCTTTTTTATGATGTGATTTTTTTCTATTTTTTATTTGTTCTTTTGAGATATACATGACAATAGAATGTATTTTGACATATTTTACATACATGAAGTAAAACTTCCCATTTTTGTGGTTGTGTATGATGTGGAGCTTCATGGGTCATGTATTTGTATATGAACATAGGAAAGTTATGTCCAATTCATTCTACTGTCTTTCTTATTCCCAACCTCCCTCCCTTCCCTTTATTCCCCTTTGTCTAATCCAATGAACTTCTATACCCCCTTATTATGTGTTAGCATCCATATATCAGAGGGAACATTCAGCTTTTTTGATTGTATGGGATTGGTTTATTTCACCTAGCATAATAGTCTCTAGTTCCATTCATTTACCGGCAAAATGGCATATATTACTTTATAACTTTTAATAACAAGAAATTATTATTTTGTCCTACTTATGCATTTTGCATCAAATTCTGCTTTATCAGTACTGTTAACTTTTTTTAAACTTATCTTAATTTTTCCTTTTATTTTTACCTTCTGAGAATTTCTAAGTCTTTTTAAAATTGGGTTATGGTTGGAAGAAGTTGAAAGTTAATCCTTGTATGATTTTCATAATAAACTTTAAAAACTTATTTTTATAAGTGAAGAAGATATTAATAATCTTTGTATGTAGTCCTTCACTAATGAGAAAAAATGATGAAAATAATTACACAAGAAAAAGGTAATATGTTAAAATAACATTAATAAATGTGTGTTACAAAAAATTTTTTACTAACTCCTAGGATATACAGATGCCACTGGAAACTGTATCCCCAACTAATCCAAACAAAAATATTATAAAGCATTTGGAAAAAGAAAAAAATATTTAACTAGAAAGGCAGATAAGAGTAAAAAGAATGAAGGACTCACAGTATATATTTTATGGCAATGAATTTGAAATATAGATGGAATGGAGAGATAAAATTTTTTTAAGTAATAAAATGGCAATATTTCTTGAAAGTAAGCTATAATTTTAATATAATTCTTCTTTTATGCAATTGTAAATTATTTTAAAATTACCAATGGTAAAATAAATTACTAAAAATCATGTGAACCTTTTTAAAAAATATATTCTTCTTTCCTCATTAATGCATTTCCTGGAGCAATGACAATTTCAACATAAAGTGAGATGCAATAATTATTAGTTACACGAATGTAAGAATAAATAAGTTACTTTCTTTATCTGGTCCTATAACTGTCAAAAGTCACAGTAACTAAAACAATATGGTGTTAATCTTAATGTTGCACCTAAATATGGGATAATTTTATTTGAATAGAATAGGTATTTTAACTGAGGATAACTCTTTATATATCACCATAGAAAGAGATCTATCAATTACTGAGAAGTGACAGAGTTGTTGGTGAATATTACAGTATAGCAAGGACTAATAATATTTACACTGTGCTTGCCATACATTTTTCAGTTCTTGAGTGTTTTTATAAGTTGACCATAAAAACCACCTTATAAAATAGATATAATTATTTTCTCAATTATAGTAGGAAAAAAAGAAGCTCAGAGAGTTTACATTATGTAGAATGAATAAGCCTAGAGATTTAATGGACTGCGGGAGGAATATAGTTAAAAATATTGTATTGTATGGTGAAAATTTACCAAGAGAGTAAATGTATTTCAGATGCTATTACCACATCAAAAAAAAAAAAGGTAACTATAGAAGGTCATGGATACATTAATTTGCTTACATGTAACAATCATTTCACTACATGCATTTGCAAATGTACATCATGTTGTACACCATATATATATATAATTATATAAAAATTATATATATATATATATAATTTTTTGAAAAGCTTAGTGTGATGGCATTCATCTGCAGCAACTCAGGAGGCTGAGGCAGGAGGATCCCAAGTTTGAGGCCAACCTCAATAACTCAGCAAGTCCCTAAGTGGTATATTGAGACTCTGTCTCAAAATTAAAAATAAATAAATAAATAAATAAAAGGGCTGAGGATGTAACCCGGTGGGTTCAGTCCCTGGTACTAAAACGAAACAAAACAAACAAACAAACAAACAACAACAACAACAACCAAAGAACATCAGTCTCAAGGCCAAGCAATGAGGCATCAGGGATTATGCAAAAGTCAGCTCCAAATAGCCAGATGAAATATGTCCACCAATAAATCCATAAGGCAGGTGGTTCAGGAATAATCATAGAACATGATGTATCTATGTAAGTGTGTATAATCACAGTCCTTAGTAGATATATTTCTTAATTACATCAAATCTTAAGTCAGCTTACAAGGCTTGATTTTACATTTCTTTTCATTCAGTCCTGTGTCCCCTGTGTAATGCCGTCAATACCATCACCTAGTTAGTGGCAAGAGAACTAGTTTTTTTTTTTCAATTTATCTTAACAGATCCAAAGATTCTTACTTAAAATTAATGTAAGTCAGGGACTCCGTTTGACTAAAATGGACTTTTTCCATTATTTTTTCCTTTATTCGTTTCCTCGTATATTGTCAGCATGCGCTGTCTGTTCATAGATTTGAAAGGAATCTTCACTCAGGCAGAAGGGATGCTTTTCTCCGTAGGAGGAGCATCTCTGCCCTGCTGGGAAGTGGACCATCTCAGCACAATAATTGTGCACTCCACTAGTGGGATAGAAAGTCAGAAAAACATCTGGACATCTATAAATAGCTCTTTATTTTTAAAGTCTGTTCCCTCTAGAAACTCTCCCCCCTATTAATAGATACTTGTTGGCATTTGTGTGAAGTTATGAATTGGAGCTTAATAGATGTAGTTACTGTGGATTAGGTGGAGGAAAAGCAGCACAGTCCTTGTTTTCCTGGGGAAAAGAAATAACGATTGGAATGCAAAGCACCTTGAGAATTGATATATTTTTTTTTAACTCACAATGGAAAGGCATCGAAGGATGACTGCTTCAATTCTGAAAAACAGTAAATCCTAGAGAAGGACTGAATGGAGCAGCACTTGAGTAGAATTTTCAGAATAGCAACTCAAAGACACAATGAAGAGGGCACATCTGACAGGTCCCTCCATGAATGGAAATCCTACAACCACCAGCATGGTTCAGTTTCTGCAAACCAACCAGAACCCTGGTAACCGTGCATTGACTCGACCGTTCTGTATGATTCTTTGAGGGAATGGGTAAGAACTTAGGTGCACTTAAAAATTTAATACATATGTATGTTAATAATATCACCTGCAACCATAAATCTGTTCTATAGGTTGACAGGCACAGTCTAGATAATTAAGTTTCATGAGTTCAGAAACCTCCACTAACAATGAAGAACATTTCCCTCCTGGTTGTCTAGTCTGGAAATTGATTTATGAGGGCATAACCCTAATGCTTAAAAATGGAAACTTCTGGGGAGAGGTAACTCATTAGTCTAAGGAATATATGCTTGATATCAACATCTTCTATTACTACAGGATCAAAATGTGAAGGAAAGAAGAACAAATAAATAGTAAGTTCAGGGAAGAAAACTTCATCTTCTTCAAGATTCTGTAAAAACCTGAGCATGCATATTTCTAATTTATTTCAGCTGTAAGGGAGGATGTTTTTAAGAATGAAGAAACATTTTCTTTACCTTTTGTTTTTCTTCTATTCCTCATTTAAGAATCTAGCAAGGCTATAATTCCTACAGCTAGGGAAAAAAAGTACATATGCACATTCATTCAAAATTCGAGGGACATTTTCACAAATTCAAACACTCTGTCTGAAATCTTTCCAAGATGGCAGGTTAAGAAAACCGATCAAAGGGTTTGTTGACATCATTAGAATAATGGAGTGCTTGTTTGAAGTCCTAAATGTGACAAGGGCTTTCAAGTCACTTGAGAGAGAAAGGCATGAGAAAGGGTCTGGAAATAAAATCGCTGAGTGTTATATAGAGCAAGGAGTAGGTTTGTGGGAGTTAAATGTGCAAATGGATGAAACAGAAGACAAAATTAAAAAAACAAAACTGTAACCAATACCCCAAACCCAGGGCAATTCATAAGATGCAATTCACAGAGCAAATTTATTTCCTCCTTTTACTGTTTTTTTTTTTTAGGTTGTTCAGTGAACGAGATTTCCTCCTGCCTATGCATAAAAGAGGGAAGTTGCAAGACTTTGAAGAATGCAAGCCACAGACTTTAGATCACTTTAAGTCATAAAATAGTCTCATTTAAAATGTCCAGTCTCATATATAGACATTGTTAAGGTTTGGTTATGAGGTTTCCTACTAAGGTCCTGATGATAAAGGAATATTCAGGTTTATGATGATTAGATAATGAGAGCTGTAACCAATCAGTGAATAAATTCATTTGATGGACTAATAATTTGAATGGACTGACTGGATGATAACTATAACAAGTAAGGCATAACTGGAAGAAGCTGGTTCACTGGGGGTGTGCTCCAGAAGGGTTTGTCTTCCTGAGTCCCCTTCACATTTCTCTCTGCTTGCTGGCCATCATAAGCTGAGTGGCTTTCCTCCACTGCAGCCCTTTCACCATGATGCTCTCCCTTACTGCAGGCCCAAAGTGATGGAACCCGCCAACCATGGACTGAACTTCTGAAACCATTAGACAAAGTAAACTTTTGCTCCTCTAAATTGTTGGTGTCAGATATTTTAGTCACGGCAATGAACAAGGAACACAGAAATTTGTATCAAGAAGTGGGTCTGTCACTGTGACTAAAATGACTGTGTTGTTTCTGAAGTTTTTGGAGCTGGTTTGGGGAGGAATATAGAAAAGTTTAGAGTTGCAGGCTGAAGAAGCCTTAGAATGTTATAAACACAGTTTAATGAAAGGGTCTGGTGAGCTCAGAAGACCAGCAGGCTGATAGGAATGTGGACAGTGACGACTGTACTTATGAGATTTCAGAAGGTAATGAAAACACTATATGGAATTTGATTAGAGGCCATTCATGTTATATTTTGGCAAAGAACTTGGTTACATTTTCCCCATGTCATGAGATTTTCTATAAGGCCAAATTGGAAGGTGATGGATTAATAAATCTGTCTTAAGGAAACTTCAAGGCAGTATAGCATTCAGGCAGTGGCAGCTTTTAGCCAGGTTTACTGGGAAATTGGAAGCAAAAATCAGAGAAGAAGGATTTTCCCAGTGCCTTGGGAGGCTGAGACAGGAACATAGCAAGTTCAAGGTGAATCTCAGTAACTTATGAAGATCTGCAGCAACATAGTGAGACCCTGTCTCAAAGAGGTTTGGAGATATAGCTCAGAGGTAAAGCACCTCTGGGTTCAATCCTCAGTACCAGGCTTCAACAACAACAACAAAAACATGGTAAAAAAATATTTCAGATTGAACAAAAAATATGTGTAAAACTGGGGAGAAGGAAATTGTGGCTGTTGAAGAAATCACAGTGACTAAAGTACTTTGTACAGAGACAATAGGAAAGATGCCTTAAGGATAGCCAGGGAATTACCAAAACTATACCCATCATAGGCTCAAGCATGTAAAAGTAATGATTCCTTTAGGAAGAGATTGGGGAGCTCTCTGCTCACAAAGGAGGGTCTAGGAAGTTGTTTGACCCTGTTTGGCCATGGAGGCCCTTAGAGGCCATTGCAGCCATGGTCCAAGGGGGTCCAGCTACTGCTCCAGCTGGTGGCAGACACTGATATCATCCATGGAGTGCTGGTTCTGCAAGAATGCAGGATGCTGCAGTTAGGGGATCAAGGAGGCTTCCACCAAGATTTCAAAGGAAGACCTGGGAGGCCAAGCAAAGTACAGCAGAGCTGAAATCTCTGTGGGCTTCCTCTGAGAAGGTGATGCATGAAACTTTGAGGGTGAAGCTGAAGCTGGAATGGAGACCCCAGGAATTAAGGAACACCAGTAATGTGGACTTTCTGCTGAGGAAAATTGCTGGCTTGGAGAGAACAAGGCTAAGAGAGAGGTCAGAGTGTTGCAGCCAGCATGGTCAAAGGGGTGGGTCTGTCAAAGCCCTTTGAAGATCATGTCTCACCAAGTAAGATTTCAATCTTGTTTTGGTTCCATCCCTCTTTCAGTGCCCTTATTCCTCCCTTTTGGAATGGGGCTGTTCATCCTGCGTCATTGTATATTGAATATTGGATATATGTAACTTGCTTTTTTTTTTTGGTACCAGAGGATGAACTCATATGTGCGGAGGCTGGCTTTGAAGTCATAATCCTCCTAACTCAGCCACCAGAGTTGCTGGGATTACTGTGCCCAGCTATGTCTTACTTTTGATTGTTGCAGGGGTTCACGGCCAAGAGTTAGTTTGCCTTGAGTTTCAGAGGAGACTTTGGATTTGGAATTTGGGGCAAGGCTGCAACTGCTAAGACTATGCAGAGTCTTGGAAACAGAATACATATATTTTGCATTGTGATTGATACAGACATGAAATTTTGTCGTAGATTGGATATGAGATATCCCCCAAATCTCCTGTTGTTGTGGGAATGTTCAGAGCTGTATTGATTGAATTATGAGAATCATGACTTCATCAGTGAATTGACCATTTGATGAGTTAATACCTTGAATGACCAACTGGGTGGTATCTGTAGGTAGGTGGGTCTCTAGAAGCATGCCCTGGAAGGACCCATCTTCCCGACGGCCCCTTCCCCTTTCCATTTTCCTAGCCCCCATTGATTGAGTGGCTTTCTTCTGCAGCCAAGATGCTCTACCTCACCTCAGGCCCAGAGCGGTGAAACCATCCCAGAGCGGACCAAGCTTCTGAAACCAAGGGTCTAAAATACTGTGTTTCTCTAAGTTGTTCTTCTTCAATGTTTTGGTCACAGTGATGAGAAGCTAACACAGTAGGGAGGGAAATGTGGGCTCTCTCTTGCTTTGATTTTTTTTATTATTATTAGTTGTTCAAAACATTACAAAGCTCTTGACATATCATATTTCATACAATTGATTCAAGCAGATTATGAACTCCCATTTTTACTCCGTATACATATTGCAGATTCACATCGGTTACACATCCACTTTTTTACCTACTGCCATACTAGTGTCTGTTGTATTCTGCTGCCCTTCCTATCCTCTACTATCCCCCCTCTCCTCCCCTCCCCTCCCCTCCCATATTCTCTCTATTTGATTTTTTTTCTTCTGCTTTGATTTTTTTCTTCCAGTTCACTAACCATGATGTTTGATGGTTCTGAAGTAGGAATGTGGGGAGCAAGGGGATGTAGGGAGATGGGAAGGTTCATGCCATCATTTTCACTGCAGGCCTGGGTCAGGCAGGATCAAACCCACTTTTTCACTTATAGATCAATTCCTGCCAGATGTTTTTCTGGCAGTTCTATTGATAATGTGAGGAACACTCCTCTGGCTCCTCATTTTCTCTGCTTTTAGAGTCCTTGTGAACCTTGAACTTCCCTCTTTAGCTTCTCAGAAAATAAAACCATACATATATATATTTTTGCAGAGGTAAAAACAGAAAATTTAAACATGTCTGGACAATTTTAAATAAAGTTACTGTGAATAACATAAGAGACCTTCCTTTAACCAGTTTAACAAACACTATTGTTGTTTTCCTGAGCCCTTCACAAACTTACTTAATGCACATAACAAACAATTGTATGATGCAGGCACTGTCAGTGACATCTCTGTTTTCAGATGAGTAAACTGAAACCCAGTGAAGTCAAGCAACTTTTCTGAGGTTACCCAGCTGGTGACATAGCTTGAGTTCAACCCTAAGCAGTGTGCCTTTCGTATGTTTGGTCCTAGCCATTATACATACTTCTCAAGTCACAGGAATTCTAAAAGGGGAAAGTACTTTTCTTATCAATCTGTATTACCAAGTCAGTAGTTTCAACCACCCCCTTGCCACTACTCTCAAATTCTTCTCTTCCCAGTAGCCTTATTCTTCTCTCAACTGATAAATCAGATCATGTTCATTTCCTGCTTAAAATCTTTCTGTGTGTTTAAATCGCCTACCCAAGCCACATTTCTCAGTGAAGGATGGAAAGTCTTTCATGTTGTAATTTCTTTTAACTCCCCAGATTTCATTCTGTCATTTTACCACAGACATTCTTCTCTGTTACACAAGCCCATATACCCATACCCTAAACATGAAAGTGCTATTCAGATTCTCAGTACTATGCTAATCCGTTGTAAATCTCTCTCTCATTTATGCACTTATAGTCTTCAACCTACATATGGATTGATTTTCTGCAAAGCCATTCTTGACCCTTCCATCCATCCTTCATCCTTCTTCCTTCCATGCCTTCATCACCTGTTCACCAAATGATACAGGTTTTAGTGTTCAAGGTGCTAAAACACAACAGTGACCAAGCACAGAAAAGTCTGCATTCTTTCTATGGCATTCTTTTACACATTGCCTTCTTGTCACACCTGTTTGCAACAGCTTGTGTCCCTGTCTCTTCTCCACTATGATCTGAGATCCCCTAGGGTCCCAGGTTTCAAAGAACACTGGCTCCATTTCTCCAGGGTAGTAGAATTCTTCGTACATAGTTGATGAATTTTTTAATCAACTAAAAATGCGTACATTAGTGATTTTTTGGGTGGTGCTGGGGATTGAACCCCCAAGGCCTTGTGTATGCGATGCAAGCACTCTATCAACTGAGCTGTATACTGTGGAACCAACCTAGATGCCCATCAGTTGATGAATGGATAAAGAAAATGTGGTATATATATCACAATGGAATACTATTCAGCATTAAAAGAGAATAAAATCATGGCATTTTCAGGTAAATGGGTAGAGTTGGAGAATATAATGCTAAGTGAAGTTAGAGCCAATCCCCCCAAAATCAAATGCCAAATGTTTTCTCTGACATAAGGAGGCTGATTCATGTTGGGGTTGGCAGGGAGCATGGGAGGAATTGACAGACTCTAGATAGAGCAAAGGGGAGAGAGAGGGAGGGGGGCAAGGGGTATAAAAATGATGGTGGAATGAGACGGACATCATTACCCTAACTAAATGTATGAAGACACGAATGATATGAATATACTTTGTGTACAACCAGAGACATTAAAAATCATGCTCTATATGTATAACAGAATAAAAAATTTTCAAAAAATGCATACATTAATGAGAGGTGGGTGAATCAATGAATGCATTTAGAAACTAATACTAACAACACTGATAAGCAGGTCTTTCTGAAGTCCAGATCCAAGGATGTAGAGTCTGGACTAGTTTTCTAACAGTTATGGAAATGAGTGTGGTAGAGTTAGAAAAGACTGCCTTATTTGGGAAAAGATAAATGTGATATTTTCTGAAGGTAAGAAGAGAAAAAGAGTATGGACTTTCAGGGTTTTAAAAATTTTTATTAGTTATTGATGAACCTTTATTTATTTATTTGTTTATATGTGGTGCTGAAAAATCAAACCCAGTGCCT